CTCCCTTGGCTCTGCCCCATCTATCTGCCTCCCCCCTCCTTTATCTCTCTCCCGTCTACATGCCCCCCCCCCTTGCCTCTGTCCCGTCTATCTTGGCCCCGCCCGTACCACAAACCTGTCTAATGACGTCACGGCGCACGGAATGTTGACTCCACACAAACCGCTTGGACTGATACTACACCGGAAGGGGCAGTCCTCAGATGGTCACTAATTGACAAACTTCGTGAGGCTCGTTGGCTTGACCGGTCAGTAGAAAGTTAGTCTTGTGGCTGTGGCAAATAACGGAGAGAGTGGAATTTGCTGAGAGCGAGATTGGTGACTATAGAAGATGTGTTGGTAGGAAGAAATCGAAATGGTCGCCTACGACTGTCTGTTTCAGACCTGCCACTTCGCTATATTAAAATTACAAAGTTATAACTGACGTATTTATGGCCGTTGTGATTTACTACGACCATGAGGCCAAAACCAAATGTTATATCTGCTCTATCAAAGGCAGTCGTTTTCAAAATATTTTTTAACATATATTTTTGAAAGTTTAACATTAAATTAGTCTCAAAATCGTTTACATCAAATTTCTCAAAACTAGATACTGAGCCGATAAAACGTTGTACTTTTAAGGTACCAACTTCATGAAGATGATGATGACGAGACACACAGAATGCTGTATCGATAGAAGTTATGGTGTTTCCCTTCCTCTTCTTTCCTCTTCTTTATCCTTTCTCTTGTACCTCTAGGGCGTCAAGGGGAGAAAGAGTTTTCGGTCTCTAGCTAGCTGGATGGCCTAGCTACGTGGGATGTTGTGTAATGGTTACCTTCAAGATAAATGTAACATGTAAGTGTTTTTACATCCCCACCGACACAGGTTCGGTCATTCAAGAGGCGAAGTCGGAACCTGCCTTTCAGGGCCAAGCCATGCTGAGAGGAATGCAACGTCGCAATCAAAAGACTGAGGTAGTAGGGGAAAATGTTCCCCAGATGAGAATCGAACTCGAGTCTTCTGCGTGCCACAGAAAGTGATTAACCGCTACACCACATACGCCAGTAAAAGTCAATGCCGAGTTCCGTTATTTAAAGATTTTTTTAAAACAAGAGTCCTTATTAACTGTACTTTGCTTTTTTAAAATTAACTTCTCGTCATGTTTCCTTCTTTGTGTTTGTATTGTTATTTTGTTATGTTTTGGGTTTTTTGGTTGTTGTTGTAGTTGTTGTTGTTGTTGTCTTTGTATATTTGTTTTTGGGTTGTTTTTTTGGGGGGAGGGGGTTTTGTTTTCGTTTTTGTTTAAAATTTTTGTTTTGATTTGGTTTGATTCAATAAATTTAAAAAGCGCCCAAAACAAGGGTTGGAGTAATATGCATGTAGAGGGAAAAAAACTACAAAGGCATTCCAAATTTCACATGAAAATTTAGTGGAAGTTTTGAAAACGTTAGGAAAAAGTTCTAAATACGAAAAAGGTCCATAAAAGCATGTCATAACATTGTAAAAAGACACCACCCCAAAAAAAAAATCAAAAAAAAAATCACCTCAGTATTTTTGTCGCCAATACGTCTAAACTGGGGAATCTGAAATCTTGTTTCATTTTTTGTTTTCTGTTGTGAGAGGGTCGGGTACACAAGGCAAAGGAATGTATTGGCAAACATTTCAACAAGATATGGTTTACTTATACATATTTGCTTATGTACATGATATATCGTAACATTTTTCTACGGATATGTTTGATTTACACAATGACCTAGATCAAACACACAAGGCTGGAATTGAATATGTATATCATTTCGTATCTCATTCGCGGCAGCCGTGGGTTGGTTTGCTTTTCCTCTCCTGCCAATCATGCGTCTCCCTTATCTCTCCGTCTTCTTTTCTTTGTATATTACTCTCTAGTCACACCTGTAATCTACAGCAGGTGTATGATCCATACGTGTTGCAAATGCCGTAAAACTCTTACTAAAACTAGAATCAACACATTACAATCGTTTGTTCTCCCCCAGTCGTCTTGACACCCGTGTGTGAGATTCTGAAATAGTTTGTTGTCTCTTTTGGTCTTCAGGGAACGCCAGACTCGAACTTGCCTGTTAGACCGTCGGAGTCTTGCCGGGCAGTTTGTTCCTCCATCAGTCATGGCAGCATTGGCGGCATGGTTCAACGACCACGGAGAAGATCAAGGCACCACATCACATATGGAGCAAAGAATGAAGGACCCTGGTGTCTGAAGAGGGTCGGGGAGAGACCGCAGTCGTTGGTCAATTAGATGTTGCAATTGCGTTTATTATTTTCATCTGAAAGTTAAAAGGGCAGACTGCATGATAATATTATACTCTATGAAATGTGCAAATTCGTATTTCCGGTTTGTATATGATGGTCCAAAAGGAGCCGAAGCACCAGCTTTGATCTGATGCTGGTCTGATATATTATAGATCTATGTCCGCTACGTCTTTTAAGCGTTAAGACCACTTTTCTCATTACAGGTCAGGAGAGCGACAGAATCCTGATAACCCCATGTGGGTCACTTCATGTCGCGGATTGGCAAAAGCGCTGTCTGAAACCTCCAAACTCTGCATTCCGAACTTTCGAGATTCACCCTCAAAACTTGTTTGATTTCGTACACAGCCTCCTCGGTGATGACATAGTTGGAAACTTTACCCCAGGGCGAAGATACCATCTCTTCTACCTTCGCCACCCAAGTCTTTCAGCGCAGAATGTGTGCACACGTGCTTTTGTCTCATCTCACGTTGTGAAAGCTCGTTGATGCGGAGCTATAGATACAATTATAATATCAGTATTCATAAAAGCAAACATGTTTAGAACTTGGATTTTTTATCCGGTTATTATTTTATTCGTTTATTCTACTCTTACGTCAATTCAAGGTACGTTCATTTCGGCTAGAATGTAACTCTTGAATAATTATATATGTGGAATTCTTTTCTTTACGTACGAAATCCTCCATGAATGTGCTTTTAATACTAAAAATATTATACCTGTATAAAAATAAATAACGAGACTTGAAAATCTATTCGTTTGTTATGTGCATGCTAGAATGGAAACTGCAGTGCCATTGGCGCTCACATGACCTAATGCAGTTGTAAGGGCTAAAAAACCTTACTATAACAAACAAACAAAAGTGCCATTAAAAAACTAAGACTTCTGTTTTTGCACAGCTTCACCGTCATGGGGTACAGTCGTTTTGAGGAAAATTTCTCTTAATGTCATCCACTATGGTCGACAAAAATAAACAATAAACGTCCCCACCATGAGGTAACATTGCCATTTTGATGGTTTTATAATACTCATATGATCGTAAGGTCTAACAAACTCATATGATCGTAAGGTCTAACATACTCATATTATCGTAAGGTCTAACAAACTCATATGATCGTAAGGTCTAACATACTCATATTATCGTAAGGTCTAACATACTCATATTATCGTAAGGTCTAACATAAATATGGAGCCTTAACTTAAAGTATAAGACTAAGGAATGTGAGAGATTCTTGTGAAGTGGTCGTTTACCTTTTAATAGCCAGGGCCCAGTTTTGTGACCAGTATGAAGCTCTAACATTTTCATACCGTTCAACTACTTGCATTCCTAAGCGAGGAATGAAAAAAACACCTGCCACTTTACTGGTGATCCCCACCTCCCACCAAAACGACCAAATTGGCCACAAGTTGTCGATTCCACTCAGGTTGGCAAGCAGTCATCTGCTGTTTACTTTGTATTCCTCTTTGTGATACATTTTTAAGTCAGCACCATTCTACACTCGCCCAAAATCATGATTTTCTGGAGCTTTCTTAATAAAGTCATATTTCGAATAGATACATCAACTTTACGATTTAAAAACAATCCAACCCTGGTCGAGCGCTTCGTGCATACAGGTATTTATCGAGTCAACAAAATATTTAGTTTAGAAGCTTTTTAAGGCCCACATTGTTTCTACTTTCACATCACTACCATGCCCTTGCATTGCCATTCTTCTCATCGCTACCCCCCCTCCTCCTCCCTACCCAACCAAATCCGTCCCCTATCTACCGCTTCCTATAAGAGATGGAAGCTAAAATGAGAGGAACTGTCTCTTACATAAGCAGGTTTTGTGTAAGTGTTTTACGGCGCTTCCAGATGCATAAGGTTAAAATTTGAGCATGCGGGACTCATTCAACTTTTTCAGTTGGTAGGTAATTTTGAATTTCGACCGGGTGGTGGTTGAAGCCTACTCTTATCGATTTGGCTCCTCCAAAGGATCTTTAACGTTCGCAACTTGCACACGGGACCTCGAAGATGTTTCGCCCTTGTTCGAGTAGGCTAGGTGTATATCGTTCCTACCATAAGATCATGGGTGTGGCTGAAAGACAGCAGTAAGAAGGAGCCAAGGAGTAGCAGTAGAATGGCTGCAGAAAGAGGATCTTTAAAGGGGGTAAAGGAAGAACATTTTAGAAAAGAAAAATTTCCGTCGCTATCGGGATTCGATCCCGGACCTATTGAATGAGAGGCGAACACCTTAACCTCAAGGCTACGAGAGCCCCCTAAGCATAATTTATATACAGTGATAGACGTGGTATAGATTCTCTACTACAAACATACAGTGCATTGTATCCTCTCTCTCCCACCACCAGGCGCCCCCTCCCACAACAGACCCAGATGGCTGGAGGAGATCCTCCTGCTTGGACCAGACATCTCGGCCACCAACTGTCCAGACATTGCAGCGTGTCCACTCTTGTACCGGTCACTGGACGCACGGGGCTGCTACCAATGTGACTGGCCAGGTATGTAGCTTACTTTATTCATTTAGACAGTACAAGTCTACAGCCATTGCAAGTTGGACAGACCGGTTGTCGTCCATTCGCTGAAGTCAGCTCTGAATAGAATACAATGTAGGCCATTGCTAAGAGGAATCATTATTAAAATATTAATCACACAATACAGTGCTTAAAGAAGCATGTGTAGGACGGTCATACAAAAACAATCAGGAAGACATAAATTAACTTTCTGGAAGACATGACTCGAAAGTGGAGCCATGAACACCTTGCTGAGACTGGGGAAAAAAATAAGAGTCAGAAATACAGAAGTAGACCAGGAATTATTTATTCGTGCAATAGTAGATGGGTTTGGGTAAGACCAGGGTAGTATAAGTCGTTTTTTAAAGAGCATCCAAGAAGAAGATTTTTAAAAATTATGTCAAACCTGGATTGCTAATGTTTTTTTGAATGCCTGTCACATGAGAAAAAAGTTAGTCCGTCTGTTCTTCAGGCATACAATTTACTGTAGCGACGTTTTCTACCACTTTACTTTTGCCTTGTGTGTATACCTCAAAAAGGGGAATTTTATTAATTAATTCTTTTTAAAATTCTCATTTCCCAGAGGAGTCAAGCCAGAGCTCAGCTCCGCCCCCAAAATCACAAACCACACGACATGTTGCTACAGAGAGTGTCTGGACAAGCCCAGACCACGAACATCTGGCAGACTTCCACACACAGCCAGAGTTTGGTCTGGACTCCCTCAGAGTGACGTCAGCGGTCGCCGTGTCCAGTTCGTCGTTTGGCTCTCAAGTCGGCTCAGACAGTCTCACAAGTTTTGACAACTTAGAAGATGATTCTTCAAATATCGGTCATAGTCTAGATCCAGAACAAAGATGGCGTCTCGAAGATGACCAACGTTTTCTTTTCTCAAATCTAGAACGAGATGCGGACAAAGACAGCCTGATTCAAGGTCATTCACGTGATGAGGTGTTCGGTATTTCCTCTTCCGAAACTTGGTCTGACAACAAAAGCAAAGAAAGAGTTGCTTTTAAAGAAATCCTTTCAGCGAACAGGGTTGGAAATACCTTGATACATAACAAGCGTCCCCCTTTCCAGCGAGGAAAAGATGGTCTGTTCAATGATTACCCAATGTCAAGGTCGTTTTCGGAGAAATACCCCTTGTCTCAAGTGCGCATGGCGTACGATGCGAAATTTGGACTTGGTGACGTAGCCAGTGCCGGTGGTTACACCAACTTTGGAAGTAACGGGGCAAACGCTGGGAACTCCTATAACAGTTTGGATTACCGTAACTATGACTACAACAACGACTATAACGGTGTTGACTACAATAATAACAATTTTGGAAAATTTGGGTCAGATAGCGGATTTGGTACAAGCGGTGGGGGTGGAGGTCGGGATTATTACGGGCAAAATACGTTTCAAAACGATGATAAAAGTCAGGATAATGGCGGTGAGAAGAGCATAGAAAATGACCACACTCACAAAGATGATGACGGTGTTGGTGGTGATAATGGTGGTGATAACAATGATAACAATGATAAGGATGACAGAGACAGTAATGATGACTTTGTGGATCCTGACTCATACGCCAATAATGAGGGGAGCGATAAAGACAAGGATCACGCCAGCAGCAGCAGCAACAATAACAACAACGGCCACAACAACGATCAAAGCCTGCCGATCTTCCCAGAAGCCTCCGACGGATGGCCGGCACCTCTGACCGACTGGGCGAGTGGTTCAGCGGGTAGCACAACTATATGTCCTGTGTTCGGACCCTGCCCCAAGGAATGCTCCACCATCACTCTGGAGGGATGCCCAGTCTGCGAATGTACAGGTAAAATACATACCGACGGTTCAGCTCAATAAATCCGTCAGCCACATCTTTCTAAAATCATCTTCTTTGCTCTCCCTTGACTGCAGATCTTTCAGTATTCTCTTTCACAATTTTTTTTAATGTGAGTATCTGATAGTAAATACAATAGCAGCTGTATTATAAAGTACATGTGCACTCAATTTAACACTTAGTGAGACAGCGCATAATTAGTATTGAGTGATGCAACACATCCGCTCCATAACTCTCTCTCTCTCTCTCTCTCTCTCTCTCTCTCTCTCTCTCTCTCTCTCTCTCC